TCAATCCTAACCTCATACTCCTCATACTTCCTCAATCATCTTTCTTACCCCCCTCGCCCCCCTCCGATTCGATGGCTCGGATTCTGTTTCTGATAAGAACCTAACCACGAAAGCCGCACAATTTGTCCAACTGGTGGTTCCCCCTGGCTTTGGCAAGAATCCGGAAAGGGCTTTGAAACGTTGGCAAATCGGAACATAAATGGGTTCTGTCTGCCAGATGCTTTGATCCTTGGAGAGGACAGATGAACAGAGATCAGAGGATTAGTGATGGAGCTACGGACATGTTTTATTGCTTCCGTTCCCAACCCTTTTTATACAATTTTGCTTACGTTTTTATGATGGTTCAGAACTCAGAGAAGAGGGCCTTGTGGATGGGAGAGAAGGGTTTTTTTTGCCTTTTTGGATTACATGAGTCTCTGACACTTGTGGGCTCTCCTTTTGCAGTGAAGAATTGACTTCATGTGAAATAGTGGGTAAATAGAATTCGGATTTAATGGCCATTTTGAACTATTTGAAAAATGGGGTCAAATATGATCTATTTGAAAATAGTTAGGCTTCCAGTTTTGATCTAAAGTTTAAAAAATATTAACACGAAATTATAATCTTACTAAGAAATTGACACTTTTGTTAAGATAGAATTGAAAATCTCAACATGAACCTGATCTAATCAAATTTGAACTAAAATACTAATACAATATGGATTTGAAATAAAATGAGTGTAAAATATTTCATATGGTAAGAGCTTTAAAATATTTGTGTCTAATTCAATTATAATGTATTTGATCGTTAGTTTTGATTGATTTTCAAATATTAATAATTTAAATCGTTGTCACTACCACTTGTCACTTTTAGTGGTTTCGTCGCTATCTCCATGATCACTCTGCCGTTGAACCTACTTGCCATTTGACGGCTACTTGGTTTTTGCCACCTCGGCTGTTCGCTCGCCTCCATCGTCACTGACCACAACCCATCACCGTCGCTATCAAGTCATTGGCGACAAAGCCGACACATATTAGCTATAGCTATTATTAGGCTTTATACTGCATCCATTTTTACTTAAGAAATGGAGTAGTTACTTACGTTTATTTGTAGTCCAATCTGAAACAACTCAAAAATATTTTATATACACTGCAACAGCAATGAATTTTTGTTTTAACTAATAATATTTAATTTTTATATCATTTAATTAATATAATTTATTTATTATACATTATAAATCTTAATTATTTGTGTAATTATATAATTTAAATGTGAATAATCATAAACTAAATCAATTATAATATAAACATATAAGATAAACTTCTTAACGGTTTTATATAAATTTATAATCTAACATATGAACTAAATTTATATTAAATTTAAAACTTAAATTTAAACTTGAAGGTATTTAAATTTAAAATGAGATACAAATATTAAATTTTGAATATAGAGTTTCTATTTATTTTTAGTCTAAATTTAAAAATTATTTGTATATTATAATGTCATCCTTTTAATCTTGTGTGTTATATGATAATATCATTATTAATTAGGGGTCAATATTTGGACACGACACGAAAAATCTAAGACCGGACCCGACTGGAAAATTCGGTTGGACCCGACCCGTTTGAAAATGGGTCAGGTTTGGGTTCGCAAGATTCGACTGTTTGAAAAAAACCGGGTCGGGTTCGGGTTTGCCGGGTCATACCGAAAACCTGTTTATTTTAAAAAAATGAATTTCCCTGCTGCACCCGCCCGCTGTCGCTTCCCCGCGCTGCTCGCCCTGCGCTCGTTGCCAACACAGGCGTTGTACCGTTCCCGCTCGCCATCCGCCGCTGCCGTAACCGCGCTGTCGCGCTGCCCAACCGGTGCCGCGCTCGCGCACCTCGCTGCGCCGGCTGCCGCGCTCGCGAAACCCGAGCTCCTTCTCTGCCGCGCGGGTCGGTCGGTCCAACCTGGCAACCCGCCCGGTCGGGCCTGAGTTCGAATTTACGACCTGTTTTTACCTAACCCGGGTCGGGTCCCCGGGTTCAAATTTCTGAACCCGTTTGAAACCCGTGTCAAATTTCGGGTTCGAACCCGACCCCGATCCGTGACCTGAATTGACACCCCCTAATTATTATGGAAGGAGAGAGGAAGATAGAGAGAGATCTCACCTAAGGAAGAGGGAAGAGAGAAAATTACAAATTTTCCACCATCCATCACACCCTTACTAAGTCTTTTGATTTGATGGAAGATGAGGGGGAAAAAGTGGAAAACTCATGTAATTAACAAGTCTCCATGATGTAAATCTTATAAATGGATGTGGATATTTTTATGTTGTAAGTAACCATATTTTGAATGGCAATTAACGATTTATTTACTCTTGTTGCGTCCCATGGAGTAATTCGCGGCGGTAGAGAAATATATGTTTTAACCGTTTAGCATTGTACG